AGTGGAGTTAGGGAAAGATGGTTCCTGATGCAGGTTATTTCTAATTCATTTTATTCCTGTAGGATTCAGGATGGGCCGTGACTTAAGATACATTCAACAAAAACATTATGCTAGCTAGAAGTGGAACGTTAGGATCAGAGAAAGCAGAATGGAAATGAAGACAAATGAGATAGATGAGTTTCTGATTTGGGGTTTGATCATCCCAGCAGCCAAGGAAAAAAATGAAACTGGCCGACTCCCAAAGAAGCAGATTTCTTCCTTCAAAGATTTGTGGTAAATTTAAAGAAATGAATCAAGGAGTGGGGGGTGTGGCTCAGTGGTAGAGCGCATGCCTACCACTTCCTAGGTCCTGGGTTCAATCCCTAACACAGGAAGGAAGGGAGGGGTAGGAAAAGAAGGAGGGAGGGAAGGAGGAAAGGTAGGAACCTTGTCTTAGCGCTGACCATCATCCAGCCCTAGGTGGTCTGTGGAATGTTCAACACCTGCAGGGCTAAGTCAGGGTCCAGGTGTGCGTATGAGATTATGTGAGATTATGTGGAGGATGAGCCTAAATAGGCAGGTCCTGGCCCCTTGGGGAATCCTCGAATGTCAAGGATCTTAAATTTTGTCTAGAGGTGGTGGGGATCAACCAAAAGCTTGTGTTTTATAAGTAAGGACAGTACAAACAGTGACAACTGGCACTCAGTGGACGCATGCTGTGGGCCCAGCTCTGTTCTATAATAACTCATTTAAGTATCACAACAGTTCTGGGAGGGAGGTGGTACTTTAAATCATTCCTGTTTTACAGGTGAAACACTGAGGCACAGAAAGACTGAGTTGCTTGCGCAAGGTCACAAGTTGGGAAGTGGCACAGTGGGAACCAACCACTGCCGTATTGATGTGGCCACTGACTATAAGTACCAGCTGACGGGTCTCATGAGTGTGTGTCGGATGTTGTGGAAGGGCTTCACGGGGCCCAGCCAGCCGCCTGCAGCAGGAACGAGAGCTAATGGACCCTTGGCCATGAGGCCAGCGGCCTGCAGAGGTGCCGCTTGTGAACAGTTTGGAGGTGTGGCCGTTGACAGTGACACCCCTGCAGCCAGTCTTTGATGTCTCTGACGAGTCCCAAAGCTCCCTGAGGGTCCCTTGCCTTGAGCAACCCAACCACAAGAGCCTTCTGGGTGACTGTGCCACCACGCCACGAAGCCTTTGTCATCAGAAACACACAAGCGTTTGTATTTCTCATTTCCGGTCACCCCAGTCTCGTTTTTCGGCAGGGTGCGGTTTCCAGAGCAATCACCACACCCTCATCTTCACTTTCTCTGTACCGCCCGCGGGGGCGTAGGGACTGCGCACAGAAATCTGCAGGGACTGTGGTTTCTGCTTCTCCTTCTTGGTCACCGCAAGCTCTTCTTATGAGCACTAGGTCCAGGTTCAACTTAGATTTCCTCCAGCAGCGGAGGTTCCCACGAAGCGCTGCTTCTCCTTTCCCAAAGCTTCTGCCACAGCTGCCCATGAGGCAGTTAGGGACAGGAGGTGTGGCTGCCCAGTGCCTTGGCCTTCCCAGGCCACCTGAGAAGCAGCTGCCTTCCACAGAGAGCTTCAGACCTGAGTCCAAGACCTGGGGTTTGAGGCCCAGCTGTGTGGCCCAGGCTCTGGCAACAGCATGGTGAAGTCAATATGGGTGGGGTTTGGAGGCAGGTAGGGGAGAGTCATATCTGGTGGGGGACAGGAAGGGCAAGGGCTACCTCCACCCACCCCTCAGTCACCTACTCCTTACGACCCTGGCCTCTGCCAAAGGTGAGGTCCTGGGAAGGAAGGAGGGACACATCAGGTGAGATGGCACACAGTGGGTGTCAGGTCTGTTCTGGCCCCCTTCCTTCCCTCTTTCATTCCCTGTCCAGTGGAAATACCTACTGAGGCTGGGCCTAGGTGGATATGGGGATCCCACATGTGGAAGGCCTAGGGCAGGGCTGCCATTGTTGTGACATCATTCATCACTCCTCCACTGGGACCCAGGTGCTCCCCACTTTGGGCCAGCTGAGACATTCTCACCTCTGGGGCAGCCCCAGGAAGGGACCTTGGGATCAGGACCTCCTCTGTGCATTGAGAAACAGCTCACTGATTCCTGTCATCGGGAGGTGGGTGAGCTTCCTGCATTGTCTAGCCAGTGGGTAGACATGGGTGGGGGGCAGCTGGCCTGTGGGCTCCCACCTCTGCTCAGAAGCGTGGAGGACCCCGCTCTGTCCTCAGGACTCTCCTGTCTGGAGTGCTGTGTGCAGTGTGGGAGGAGGGCTGGGTGGCTGTGGCAGGGTGACAGAGCTGGGGAATGCACATGCATCTGGGGAGGGTGCTTAGGGTCTCTTCCCAGAAGGGGTGCTTTTCTAAACTAGACAGAAGGAGGAGCAGTCATTACCACACAGGCTAGTCACTTCCTGGAGCCCCAGTTTCATTTTCCATAAAAAGGGTCAACAACACCTGCTTCTGAGAACCAGTTGAGAGGATGGGATGAGGGAGTGGGTGGGTGCCAAGGGACTGGGGCCATTTCACGCCTTCTCAGTGCTCGGGGGAGATGCATTTCAAGGGCTTTTCCCCCTGGTGACTGATACCTGTTTGTATAACCAGTGTCGTGGTTTAGAAAAATCCCAGCTAGAACCCAGAAAGAATGAAGTGGCTTTAGAGTCCTTTCTTGGGGAAGGTGATAATAGGACCTCCTTCATCCAGTGAAACAAATTTTTAAAAATTAAGATTCTTCTTGGATCCTACACCCTGCCTGGCCCAGGGTCCCTTGAACACATTTCCTTTGTTCTTAAGCTTTACAAAGATAGACTGAGGAGAATTCACTAGAATTTAAAGACCACACACACACACACACACACACACACACACACACTCATCCACTATTATTTGACAACCATTTTTTGAGAACCTGTTGTGTGCCACCTGATGGGGACGCTATTGGACAGACTAGATTGGAGCCCCCACCTTGGTGAAGCTTGTAATTCTGGGGAAGGAGCGGGGAGGTAGACCATAAAGACATTCAAAGCAACAATAAAAACTAACCAACCACAAAAATACCATAAAGGAAAATAAACAGGCTGCTGTTAGGGAGAATTTAGGGGGCTCCTTAGGTTGACTGGGACATTAGAGGAGGTGGTATTCAGCTGAGACCTGCAGCAGACACTGTCCTAGAAGAAGCAGAAGTGACAAAAGAATGTTTCAAATGGGAGTAGCAGCTGCAAAGGTCTTAGGGGAAGGGGCAACTTAGGGTATCTGAGGAAATGAGTGAAAGCCCAAGAAGACATTTGGGACCTGGGTGAGAGAGTGGGGAGCAGCGGGGAGCAGCAGGGGCTGAGAGTCAGGAGTGGGTGGAGACAGTGGGGGCCTGCTCATGGGTCAGGATGTTATTCCGGGAACAGCCTAGGGGTGGCAAGATGGGAACTGGGTTTTAGTACACGAGATGCAGAAGCAAGCGGTGGAGCTGGGTTTTTAAAGAGTGGCTCTGGCTGTAGGGTGGGTGTGGCGGGGCTGGCTGGCATGTGGTGCTGGGGGATTGAACCGCAGTCCCTGTGTTTTGCTAAGCTTGTTCTAAGTAGGTGCTTTAGACCACTGAGCCATCTCCCCAGCCCCCCCAGAAGGGCACTTTGGAAAGCTGAAAAAGAGTGTAGATGTGGGGATTCCAGCCTTTACTAGAAGAGTGCTTTGGGGGAAAGTGCTGAGTAAGGCCTTTCAGGGTGGAAGGGAGCGTGGGGGAGCTGAGTCCCTAGCCCAGCATTTGACGCCAGAGGGAGCCTACTCTTTCAGCTAGCCTCACAGGAGAGGCCTTTTGAGGACTGGACTGGCTCAAAACTATCTACTGCTAAGACGGAAGGTGGGAGCCCAGGATCACTCTGCTGTTGTGATTTTTGAGTTATTTTGTTTGGGTACTAGGAATCGAACTCAGGACTTTGCACTTGCCAGGCAGGTGCTTACACAGCTGAGCTATCTGCCCAGCCCTTGTCATTTAATTTCACAATATATTCATAACTTTTAATTGATGCATAATGTTTTCTTCCTTCTTCCTTTCCTCTTTCTCTTATTTGCTTGCTTGCTTTCTTCTTTCTTTCCCTTTTTTTCTTTTCCTTCCTTCCTTCTTTCCTTCCTTCCTTCCTTCCTTCCTTCCTTCCTTCCTTCCTTCATCATTACCAGGGATTGAACCAAAGGCCCTCACACTGAGCTATATCCCCAGCCTTCATATTTTCACTGTTGAGACAGGGCCTTTCCAACTTGCCCAAGCAAGGCTCCAACTCCCCATCCTTCTGCTTCAACCTCCTGAGTAGCTGGGATTACCACCCTGAGCCACCACACCCCTCAGGTTTACTGGTTCCTGACCTATGCCAAAGCAGAGAGCGTTTTTGTTTGTTTTGTTTTCTGTTTGTTTTGTAGCACTGGGGATGACCTACACCCCTAGCTCAGCCCAAACTGATGATGTGTTGTCCTGAGTGCCACAACCTTTGAGGAGTGTAGCAAGCCCTGGATTACTCTTTAGCCACCCAAATGCACACACCAGTGTCCCTGCTCTGTCAGGGGAGTTCCCTGGAACTTTCTGATATTTATTCATGAACTCTGGCATAAGAACCCCTGAGCTAGAGGAACAGAAATTGTGGGCTCTGGGAACACTTGTCCTTTTTTGTTCCACCTTCTGCCCCCCAGCCTCTGAACACCTCTCCCCCAACCCTCCTACGGGCTGGTGATGCACAAACCTCTCCACTGCTAGGCTGGCTGACTTGATTTGGTGTCTGCCACTGGGAACCCCATTATGGAAAGGGACTTCAGATTTCTCAAGAGAGGTGTCTGTGAAGCCCCTTCCTGCCTCCTGGGGTGTTCAGGTGGAGGTCCCGGTCTCCCGGCCCCTGGAATAGGAGGGGGTCACCTAGCTCCCCAGGACTCTCTGGCCTTGTGGATTCTTCCTGGGAACACACGAGGTGTACACCGATCAGGCCCCGCCCGCGAAGGTGGCGCGTCGCACCCGGCCCGCCCCTGCCAGCCCGCGCAGCGACAGTGGCTGCGGCAGGGACTGTGCATCGCAGGGCACAACATGCGGGGCTTGTGGCCGCCGCCCCCGCTGGCCGCTGTGCTGTCGGCGCTGGGGGTGAGGCGAGGTGTCCCCGGCAGGCGGGAGGGCGGGAAGGGGCGGCCATGGGGCCGGTCTCGGTCTCGGGTGTCCTGGCCGGGGCGGGGCGCGGCAACGCCGGGCCGCTTCCCGATTCGGGCGCGCAGGCCATGGAGGCACTCAGAGAGTCCGTGTTGCATTTGGCCTTGCAGATGTCGACCTACAAGAGGGCCACGCTGGACGAGGAGGACCTGGTGGATTCCCTCTCCGAGGGCGAAGTGTACCCCAACGGCCTGCAGGTAGGAGCCCCCGCCCACCCGCTAGGTCCAGTCCAGCTGGGCCCAGGCATGCGCGCTGGCACCGTCCCGCCTCCAGCCTGCCGGGGGTGGGGGACCCCCGCACCTCCGCAGTCCTGTGCCCAGAGGAGTAGCCCTAACTCAACACTAGTCCCCTGGAAGCACGAGGCTCCCCCACCCCATCCTCACTAGCCCCACCCCGTCCCCCAAAGCCACCAGGCCACCTGTTTCACTGCTATGGCCCAGGTCTCAGAGTTGAAACACCCTCCAGACCTGCGCTGGTCCCGAGGCTTTGTTACAGAAGACAGCGTGCCACACAGGGAGCCCAGGGCCACACAACCCATCGCTGACAGCCTAAAATTGCCACACCTTAGCATGGAAAGTCCTATGTCCCAGGACCCCTTGCTCAGCCCTGGATGCCTGGGACAGTTAGTCACTGTCTGGTGGACATTACTCCTATCTCCCCTACAGACCTGAATTTCCTTGGAGTGGAGACTGGCTTCTGCCAGGCACACCCTGTCCCCTTCCAGCCCACCCAGGAAGCCCAGTTCCTTCCCTCCAGTGCCACACCAAGGGACACAGAGATAGACCACTTTGGCCTTGCAGCCCTCAGTGACCAGGTTGCTCGGTCCCTTCTCTCTGCACGGCTGCCCTGGAATGTTTGTGTCCAGGCGTTCCAGCGTAGAGAGCAGAACAGGGACACCTCAGTCCAGGAGGATTTGTACCAAGTGGACCAAAGGAGGTGCTGAGAATCCTGGGCCAGCCGGTGAGCTGATGGCTAATTCCAGGTCATCCCTGGGGCGAGTTTAGGAAGAGTGAAAACTTGGCTATCCAGACCAACACTGAATGGGCACACCCCTTATGGCTGGAATTATACCAACAATCAATGAGGGAACCTCTTCCAAGCTAGTTAATAAGCCCAGGGTATCTGAATTTGTGAGCCCAAGAACTTCATATGCTGGGAGATGGCACCGCTACCTCCACTTTCAGGACCACTACCAAGGACTGTGGAGTTACTTCCCCTCTCACAGATAAGGAAACTGAGGCTGTATGAGGGGAGACAACTTGCCTAAGGTCAGTCACAGCACTAGAAATCTGGGAGCGGCACACCCCATCTGTCTAGACTCTTCCCTGTGGGCTCTTCTTAAGAGACTAAATCCAGCAGGAAATTGTTTTTCTGTGGCAGGCACTTTTCCCTTCACAAATCAAAACAGAATATAATCAGCAATCTTTTCATTCTCATCTTCCACAGAAGTTTCTAAATATATCAGCACAAAAGCATCTCAGAATTCACAACAAAATAATATGCCTTTTTGTTGTAATAGCAGCCCACTTGAGTTTATAGACAGGACATGCGTCCACGTGAGACCCCTGGCAGAGAGCAGGGTGGGGGGCAACAGGGACCCAGTTTGACTCTGACTCCACTCATGACCTTGGGCAAGCTGCTAAATCTCTTTCAGTCATAATTACCTTGTCTGTAAGGTGGGTTAGAGAAGGTCGTATGCTGGCCTGCTGAGAGGTAAGGGCTCGAGTGCCCACGGTGATGCTGGGGCACAGAGGGAGGCTAGGGACATCCTGTGATCACATCACTCTGTTGTATGCGTTGAAGTTCAGTTTTGGTGTCCCTATGGGAAACTGTCCTACGGGGTATATTTTCTGCCTTCCATGCAAGAAAAAAAACAAAAACATTACCCAAGGATTTGAGATTTTTTAACACTGTAGAAAATGCTTATGGGGGCCAGGGAGATGGCTCAGTAGAATAAGTGCTTGCCTGGCAAGTGCAAGGGCCTGAGTTCAATCCCCGGTTCCACTAAATCAGAGAGAGAGAGAGAGACAGAGACAGAGAGAGAGAGAGAGAGAGAGAGAGAGAGAGAGAGAGAGAGAGAGAGAGAGAAAGATTCCTTAGGGCTGGCCAAATAGCTCAGCGGATTAAAGCACCTGCAAGCAGGTGCAGGGGTCAAGGCTTCGATCCCCTGGCCTGCTGTGCCAGCCCCACCCCCAGGGCACGCTGAGACAGCAATTGAGACTGGGCATGGTGGTGTGCGCCCGTAATCCCAGTTCTTAGGAGGCTATAAACAGATGGACACTACTAGTCTGATCTAGTAGTGAGACCCTGAATACCTTGTAGACCCTTTCCTAAAAAATAAAAAAATGCTTATGAAGTAGCACTGGATGAAAAATTCAGGCTGCAATACTGTATTCACAGTAAACTTAATTATATTAAAATTTGTGTGTGTGTGTGTGTGTGTGTGTGTGTGTGTGTGTGTGTGTGTCTGGAGGTATAACTCAATGGTAGAGAGCTTACTTAGTATCATGCACAAGGCCCTGGGTTTAATCCCTAGTCCTTAAAAAAAAAATTCTTGGGGCTGGAGAGATAGCTCAGTAGAATAAGTGCTTGCCTGGCAAGCACAAGGGCCTGAGTTCAATCCTATCCCTGGTTCTGCAAAAAAAAAAAAAAAAAAAAAAAATTCTTTGGACACAGGACTCACGCCCAGCCCGCATGCCTTCCCCAGAGCAAACTCCACTGGCTGGTGCTGCTGTGCTGTCAGGACCCAGCTGCCTCAATTAGGAGGCAATTTTCTATTAATGTCACATTTTTAGTCTTTTTTTCATATAAAAGCTTTATAATACTCATTTGCAAAAGAAACAAGACACAAATTTAAAAAAAAAATTAAGTGGCTGGGGCTGGGGAGACGGCTCAGCAGTCTAAGCGCCTGCTTCCCAAGCAGAAGGACCAGAGTTCAGTTCCTGGTACTGCATGCTGTGCCAGCCCTAGAACTGTGCCGGCCCCAAAACCTTGCGTGGTGGTGCGTGCCTATAATCCCAGCGCTGGGGAGGCTGAGACAGAAAGATCACTACAAGTCTGAACTGCTTAGTGAGACCCTGTATCAAATAAATAAAATACATAAAGATTAAAACAAAAAAGGTGGCTGGGCACAGTGGCACATTTCTATAATCCCAGCATTCTGGGAACCTGAGCCTGGATTGCATGTTTGAGCCTAACCCTGGCATGCTAACAACTTAGCAAGATCCTGTCTCAGAATTTAAAATACAAAATGGAGTAAGAATGTAGCTTATTGCTGGGGAGATGGCTCAGTAGAATAAGCGCTTGCCTGGCAAGAGCAAGGGCCTGAGTTCAATCCCCGGTCCCACAAAAAAAAAAAAGAATGTAACTCAGTTTGAAGGGTCATGGGTTAAATCCCAGAACTATTAATGAAAAAAAAAAAAAAGGAAGGAAGGAAGAAGAAAGCAAGGAAAAGAGAGAGAGAGAATAATCCTACCACTTAGAGATAATTGGTTCTGGTTTCTTGTGTAGGCGTAATTTTTTTTTTTAAAGCCTGGGAATCAAACCCAGGGCCTTGTGAGTGATGCTAAGTAAGCTTTTTACCATTGAGCTATACCTCTGG